GAGAGGACAGATTTGAGAAATACATACATTGAAACTTGGCAAGTGGAGGTTAATTAGGTATACGGGAGAGAGATATTCAGAAGACCCCCAGATTTTCAATGTGGAGTTGCTACAAACTGAAAGGTAAGAAGAGGTCTGTGTTCAGGTAGTTATGGATTCAAATCAGGCATGTTGAGTTAGAGTGCATGAGGCTAGTGGAACAGACTCACAGGTAGATATATGAATCTGAAGATAGAGAAAAGTCTGTGCTTTGTATATGGTGAGTATGCTTAACAGTTTAAACCAGCGGTTCTCAACCTGTGGGTCGCGACCCCTTTGGGGGTCGAACAACCCTTTCACAGGGGTCGCCTAAGACCATCGGAAAACACATATATAATTACATATTGTTTTTGTGATTAATCACTATGCCTTAATTATGTTCAATTTGTAACAAAGAAAATACATCCTGCATATCAGATATTTACATGACGATTCATAACAGTAGCAAAATTACAGTTATGAAGTAGCAACGAAAATAATTTTATGGTTGGGGGTCACCACAACATGAGGAACTGTATTAAAGGGTCGCGGCATTAGGAAGGTTGAGAACCACTGGTTTAAACTATAAATGCATAGTATTTAAGTCACTCAAGAAATTATGGGGAATGAGAAGGGAAATGGGCCAGGACAGAACCCAAGGGAATACCAGTATCAATGGGGTAGGAGAGGAAGAGGGACCTGTGATAGAGACAAAGAAGGAAGATGAGAAACATTCAGAGAGCTTTCTGGAATGGAATGGAAGTGAGAGACACAGGGACCCAGGAGAATCCCTTACTGCTCTGTGCCTCTCCCCTTCCTAAGCCTTCTACCTAAGCCTTCTGGCTGTCCTATTCCTTAAAAGCAAGCTCCTTTATATCCTTAACTCCCCATACAGCTTTGCTCCTGATCCCAAAGCTTCCAGCCACCCTCCTCTACCATCCTGTAGAGACTCCTACCTCTTTGAGGTTCATGCACTTCATTTATAGAGCCTTGACCTCCTTTCCTGATAATTCTGTTTATCTAAGACTCTGGCATCTACATCACCATTTTTCTCTCCATTCCAATGCTACTATCATGTAGGATGAGCCGTCACCAAGTCTCATAGTTCCTAGATGCCCTCACCTACAGTGACTCTTCACTTTCACTCCAGCCTCCCACTCCCATGGTGACTCCCAGGAAATGGTTAATACCTGGCACTACTTCAGTTCTGTGGGAATAAACTTCACATCCTACTCTGACCACAACCAGCTCTCTCACCTCTTTCCCTACACTTGCTCTCACTTTCCTTAGATTCCTCCATTTCCTTCTGACCTGTTGATCCCCTAATGACCTCTCTTCCTTCCTTACCCAGGTTGGACTCTGGCTGTTCATCTGAAGTATTCTTTCCCAAAACCTTTGCTTCCTTTGCACCCCCCGTTCTTCCCTCACCCCTGCCCAGGGCAACTCTCTTCTCAGAAAATGGGACCCCATACAGAGGGACATCATTAGAGATTCACGGTCTTCACTCTCTCGTCCCTGTCATTCTTCATCACCACAGAAAACATAAGCCCTTCCCATGGGGAAACAGGGAAATTTAAGCAATAGTCAAAAGCCCAGTCTCTCTCTCCCAAAATAGCTTCTCCACCTGCTCTTGCTGGATCTCCACGGATGTCCGTGGTACCACTCTTAACTGCCACTTACCACCTTTATCTTCACCTTGGGCAAGTTAATTAACCTCCTTGAATCCTAGGGAACTGCCTCTACCAGTACCACAGACCAGAACTTCCCAGAACTCAGGAGTGTGAAGGCCCTGGGGAGAGCAGGAACTTCAGAATGCCACATCCATTCTGTAAGAGCAGCTCTTCCTTAAGAGGAAGTCATTGTGAGAACACAATGAATAGTAGCCACATGGGTATTTCTGTTGAAGAAAGAAGAATTATGCCATCACCCCCTTTGGCACAAAAATAATTTTCAGTAAAAGGTTAAAACCATCATGTTGTATCAATGAGAACGATGCCATTATTCCAAGAATGATTGATTGGAAAGTACTTTACTTGCAGGAAAATCATAGTGATACAATACAGCTTCCACTTTTAAAGCACTTTCCATTAAAAAAATTATACCTATGTCTAAAAATAGTTATACTGAAGATGTGAATCAACAGCCGAGTAATTTATTGGCACTTGAAAGCCCTGTGGTATAAACAGATTCAGTACAATGGGACTATCAAGTAGCTCTGGCTGTGGCAACCTAACCTCCATGTTCATGACAAAAGAAAGTGACTTGCAGTTCAGAGAGGGTCACCTGGCCACCTTGGAAGAGAACACAATGGAACAGGACCAACTGGTCGGTCAACGCAAAGCACTGAGTGACACAGTGAGAAAGACAGAAGGGACAGAGATGTGGTTGCTGCCCTCAGTTTCCAAAGTGTCCCCAACTGCATGTAGGCCTGTACACAGGATAGTTCAATGTCCCAAGTGTCCTAAGAGGAGTGCAAAGGAAGATGAGCTATTAAAAGGGAGAGAGAGAAACCAAGATGGCGGCATAGGTAAACACCGGAAATTGCTGCTTCGCACAACCACTTCAAAAATACAACTAAAAGTCGAAACCGGTTTGGCTCAGTGGATAGAGCATCGGCCTGCGGACTGAAGGGTCCCAGGTTTGATTCCGGTCAAGGGCATGTACCTGGGTTGCGGGCACATCCCCAGTAGGAGATGTGCAGGAGGCAGCTGATCAATGTTTCTCTCTCATTGATGTTTCTAACTCTCTCTCTCCCTTCCTCTCTGTAAAAAATCAATAAAATATATATTTTTTTAAAAAATACAACTAAAAGACAAAACAAACATCATCCAGAACCACAGGAAGGCTGGCTGAGTGGAAATTCTACAACTAGAAGGAAAGAGAAAAGCACACTGAGACTCAGAGGAGGTGCAGAGGTACGGAGGCGCGCACGGAAAGGGCTGGCAACTGAGGACATGATTGTCTTTTTCAATCGGGAGGGAGTCTCAAGCTCCCGACTGCTCTGAACTCCAGTTCCAGGCGAATCTCTGGGACCCAGACTCATACGGAGAGAAACTGGACTGTTTGGCATCGGTTGGAACTCGAGGCGACTTTCTCTCAGAGGTGCTTGCAGCGATTACCAGGACACTGAGACCCGGGGCCTCTTAGGGTAGGACTGAGGAGCAGCGTAGCTGCTTGCTCCACCCTGTTGATCCCGAGACCCCGCCCCACCCAAGCTGTGCGCAGAGGCTTTTGCATATGAAAGGCCTGGCCCTTTGCAATCTGAAAATTACCTAACAAACTGCAGCTGGGTCAGAGAGACCCAGAACTTCCAAAAGAAGGCCCAAGGCCCCACAGCAGCTTGCATTTGTCCACAGCTGGGCCTCATCTGGGCACCTCCAAACCCCAAACAAAGAAGAGGAATCTGCAGATCTCTCCATAGCTCCTGCTGGGTAGCCTCAGGCAGAGGCAGTGTTATTGTTATATTTCTTACATTCATATATGGAATTTAATTTTGTATATGATGTGAGAATTAAAACTTGGAATCTTAGAGTTTGCCATGACTCTTCATATCTTGTGGCATTTTCCATATTTTCATAATACATTCTCCATCAAACTCATAATTTCTCTGGCTCCAGACCTTTCTGTTGTCGCACTGCTGTGCTGTAACCTGAGGGAAGGCAAGAACCATGTGTGTCTCTTTCTCTATTGTTTCCTTCAGGAAGGACCAAACAATTGCAAAGCACCTAGCAGTGCCTGACACAGCTTAGACGCTCAGAAAACATTAACGGGAGGGAAGAAAGTATGGAATTCATACCTGCATTAGTATTGCTGCTTGGCAAGTTTAATATTGTTTGCTTTATGTGTAAACAAGGGAAAATGTCATTTTCCTTAAAGCCATTCACTGTCTCATGAGCTCACTCTGTTCCTTCCTCCTAGGTCTTCTTCCTTCCAGGCTTTCCTTCTCTCTACAAATCTGTCTCATTCCATAAGGACTCCCTTCTTCACAGAGCCCTTCTTCAAAGCCTTTCTTAAAATATAAACTCTGCCACACTATTTAGCAGTTAATCCACAATGGGTTATACTCCTTCTCTAGTACCCATCACTGCACTGCACCCAGCTCATGAAATACAGCAGCTGCAACCAAAACAGTCTTGCATGCCAAGGCCTCTATTAAGGCTGAAGTGTAGCTTCAAGATTTGTAATGAAAGCTCTTGGGTCCAAAAAAAAAAACAACCAGCAAACTAGAAAAAACTGGAAAATGGCCCTGAATGCTGTTAAATACCAGAATGATTTTTCAAAGTGAAATTGTGTAATTACATTTAATTTATCTAAAATGCATTTGTTAGCCCTAGCCTAGTGTGGCTCAGTGGTTTAGCGTCAACCCAGGAACCAAGAGGTCACTGGTTTGATTCCTGGTCAGGGCACATGCCCAGGTTGTGGGCTTGATTCCCAGTGAGGGAGGCATGCAGGAGGCAGCCAATTGATGTTTCTCATCGATATTTCTCCCTCTCCCTTCCTCTCTCTAGTAATCAATAAAAACATATTTTTAAAAAACAACAGACAAATCCTAGTTAAGGTACATTCTACAAAATACCTGACCAGTTCTCAAAATGATCAAGGTCATCAAAAATGAAGAATGTCTAAGAAACTGTCACAGCCTACAGGAATCTAAGGAGACGTGATAACTAAGTGTAATACGAGATTCTAGATGAGATCTTAGAACAGAAAAGGACATTAAGCAAAACTAGGGAAATCCAAACAAATATGGAGTTCAGTTAATAATATATCGCTACTATCTCATAGTTGTGACACGTATACCACAGTCATGTATTTACAGAACTGGGTGTGGGGTATATGGAAATTCTCTTGTCATATCCTTGTAACTTTCCTGTAAATCTAAATCTATTCTAAAGCAAACGTGTACTTAAATACTTTAAAAATACAAGTTTGGGGGAAAGATGACTACATACTTATCTCCTCAACTGTACTTTTAATTGCAGGGTGCTGGCGACAGTTTCGTAGGAGCTTTGGCCTTCTACCTGGCTTACTACCCAAATCTGTCCTTGGAAGAAATGCTCAAGAGATCCAATTTCATCGCAGCAGTCAGCGTCCAGGCTGCAGGGACACAGTCATCCTATCCATACAAGAAGGACCTGCCACTTGATTTGTTTTGATTGCTACTAACTCAAACATAAAAATACCTGGAAATAAAATGTTCTTGAAGGTGGCCAGTCTTAATTAGCAGCTTACTATAAAATGTCCTCTTCTCCTTTCTTTGCAAATATTTTCATTTACTAAGTCATCCTCAAGCTTTCATTTATTTCTTTAAATGATTGATTTCCTTGCTTTTCATGCAAGAGCTAACCAGAAGGACTCCATGCATGACCAGGACCTGTACAAACATTACTACTACTCGAGAACTGGCAAACTCTACTGGCAACAGGTCAGGAACACTAGCAGAGGTTGTGGACAAGGGTCAAGTCAGAGCAGAAAATGTTAAACAAGGGAATGGGGGGTTATGGATTGGACCACTCAAGCAGTTCCTAAAAGGGGCAGCTGATATTCAGCTTTGGCTTTAGTGTTGTCAAAGCTTCTGGTTTTGCAAGAGAAGCCAGAAGTTTTGGATGTTTATTGAAATCTTTGAATGTTTAAGTGTCAGCAACTTTTTTTTTTAATGTAAACACCACCTGTGGGCCACATTCAGCCTACGTGCTAAATAGACAAGTCACTGGTTAAGCCAGTATTTAAGTTTTTGTTTTGTTTTTAAAAATGCAACTCATGCATGTCACAGACCCTTTACATTGGGCTTAACAAGTAAGATCAGGTGGAAGATTTTTCTTGTAACCCAACACCATTATGTATAGTTCCAATCTAAAAATAGCCAAGATCGCACCTATTATTGCTTTGAACCAGAGCTTTAACAAAAGATGCTACAAAAGAGCTGACTATCATGCCACAAGCCTCCGAGACTCAGCAAGAATCCACATCTAATTCCATTTCCTCAGGAGACACAGATTGGGCCTGGGAGGGAACACCTGTTATTTTGAAACAGTATTGTTATTTTGAAACAGTATTGGTTCCTTAATGCTGGTAGTCATGGTGGGCACTCTCATTCTCCCACATAAATGCTTTAAAATGGAGCTCAGAAAATGAGCTGATCCTTACCTTCAGCCAGAAATTCGACAAGTAAAGAAGAAAACTGGGCAATTTTGAAAATCTGTGGGAAACAATAGCTTGAGTGAGAAAGTACGTAGCTCTGGGCAGGGCAGGAGTCTTTATCTGAACATTAGGGACTGTCCGTGGAATTTCCAAGCTGGTTAGCTGTGCAGTAACACCAGGCCCCCACAGCCTTCACTCTAGCTTATAGAAATAACATAGAATCTCTTATTTTATATATATATGAAATAAAGGAGTCCAAAGCTGTGCTAGAAAATCATAGATACTGCATTCCTGAGTTTGAGAATACGGACCAACAGTATTTTCCCTAAGTATATAAGCACAAATCAAAAATAGTTCTCAGGGTTTCCTTTGTGTTAGAAGGCTGAGGCTGGCTCCCTTCTTATCACTCCTGCTCACCTCTGCCATCTCTGTTACTGCACTGGAGTTTTTTAAAGATCACTCTGGAGTGTTGACTACCTTTTCTATGAAAATCAAGGAGGAACAGCCTGGAAACTCTTGCACAAGTCTCACTGTGGAAAATGTTCTTTCAATACATGAAACAATGGTTATTTTTTAGTAATGTAGTTGTGTTTTTAATTTCAAATAGTGGGGGAAAACATCACTAAGAGACAATAGTACAGGCTATTTTAATATATTTTATTACGGGCTATAAAAATATCCAGAAAGATAAAGAAATGGGATGCAATGATTTATGTCCTAATATGAAGAACTTTCTTTCACTGCATTGTTTTCTTCACAATGGCCTTCAAATCACAGGAGGCAGAGATGCCGTGTCATTTCCTCTTCTTTTATTACATGCTGCAGAATTTCTGAATCAGTACCCCACCCTCAGTCTTCTCATTTATAAATCAAATGCATTTTCAATCCATTGTTCAGAGGGAGCGTATTTTTTTCTGTTCCACAAAGAGGACTTTTGCTCTCACTACAGGAGGAGAAAAAAGGATTATGGCAGAAAACTAAGTATCATTACCATTTTCTAATAAAAATATATATCAGATCATGAGCCCTCTCTTTTGTTTTACTTTCCTTTGACATGGGGATGGAGTTGACTTGCAAGCTCAGCTCCTTGATCCCAGAGGCCAGAGAAGACCAGAGAAAATGGTAAGGAAAAGAGGAAAGGCCCAGCCAACCAGTGGCATCTTTGGCACCCCAGGTCAATGAATGTGAAATATTCAAATTTAAAAAGAAAATTATGGGCAAAAGATGGAAAACACTTGATGCCATCACCCAGTTGATATCCACTCTTGTAGGGGATAAGCAAGGACAGACTAGAGCTGGACTCCAGAAACAGGGCACTGAGAACTGAGCAGACAGAAGTAACATACACATTAAGCTTGTACTTTCCAGAGATGGTTTCCTACCCCAAATATGGATTTTCTAATTTGGTAACATAATTAACATTATAACCACAATCGAATTATTATAAATATAGGAGAGTACAGTTCTCTGAAACAAAACCAAAAGTGCTAACGCTCGGATGAAAGATTGAAGACTAGATGCTAGGCAATAAGGTTTTCATAGTTCCTATAATGCCCTATAGTCCTCCATTAACTTCATCTATTTATCTTCTATATATCTCTTTCTCTCCCTTCTCCGCAACCCCCCCCCACACACACACACACACACACACACACACCACCTTATTCTTCTTTGCCAAAAAAACAACAACAACAACAAAAATACACCCAGGAACTCAAACTATGATATAACAATTCACTTACCCTACCATACAAAGAGATTTTAGCTTTTTTTTTCCCTCTTCTATAATCAACACAGACACTCTATATAAGAGATTCCCAAACTGACTATGATTACGAGTTAGCTAGGGAGCTTACTGAAATAAATCCCTGCCCTTATTCTGGTTCCTTCCATCTAGGCTAGGACTGGAAGTCTACATTTTTTAAACCATCATGATTCTAATGAACAGCTGGATAAGAACCATTATCCAGTCCATAGAATTTTATCTACAAAATTAATAAAAATAAAATATACATATTACATAGGGATATTTTTCATATATTTCAAATCATCTAATATTAAATATAAGTAGGATTGGTGCTCCTTCAGAATCCCAGGAAGACTACAAAACATAAAAAGGTAGAAAACAAAAGTTTCCTATCAGACAATATTATTCATTGCAAGAAATATTCCCCCATGTTTTTCTATATAGAGCTAAAAAGATAGATAAAAGAAGGAACTTGTCTTCCTGATAACCAATCAGGAGATTATGTAAATGTGAACAGGAGCAACTGACAAAGATTAACAAAGCAAGGCTTTATTATGAAAATGTTTTGATTCATTCCCTTAATTCAAAGAATAAATACTAGAGTCCACAGAATTGTGCTAGACAATGTGGAGTTTACAAAAGTATAAGAAGACTCCTTAGCCCTGCCGGTATGGCTCAGTGGTTGAGTACTGACCCATGAACCAAGAGGTCACTGGCTGATTCCCAACCAGGGCACATGCCCAGGTTTCGGGCTCAATCCCCCAATAGGGGGCATGCAGGAGGCAGCCGATCAATGTTTCCCTCTCATCAATGTTTCTATCTCTCTCTCTCTCTCCCTTCCTCTCTCTCTAAAATCAATAAAAACATTTTTTTTTAAAAGAAGAAAAAGAGTCCTTGGGCATCTGGCGTGGAGAAACGGCAGTAAGAGGTAGGAGTGACAGTGGGGCTTCATGGCCTTAAATGCTAGACTGACCACAGGGGATGGTCCTGATTAAGAAAAAAGAAAAATCAGGAAGATTTATCTGGCTCCATGTAGTAGAAAGAATAGGAGGCCTGGAGTCAAAAAGGCTGGGTTCGCACGCAGGCTCCATCTTTCTCTGCTCTGAGTCCCTGGGCAAATTTCTCAAAATACTCTATCTTCCCATGAGAGAGATAACTCCAACTCCCACACAAGGCTGCTGCCAGATACACAGTGAACACTCAATGCGTGCTAGCTGAGCACTGCTATCCACAATCATAAACATAAATTTTGTCAAAATATTTGCTGCTTACTACATAGAAAAATGAATCTGTCAAGTTCTTTCCCTACATTGAACCTAAATCCATTCTGCTTCAATTAAAGTCTACATTGTCTTGTTTAGTCATCCAAGGAATTAAAACTGACAAGTTTTCATTTTCATGATAAACTTCATATATTTAACAACATTTAATAAGCTTATGCCTCAGCCTTTAATCCTTCCTCCTCAGAAACTGGATCAGTTTTATGTGAGGAAAAGGAGTTTAGAAGGACAGGCTGCTTCTAGCCATAGAGTCTACCATGAAATGCTTAAACAATTGAGAGTTTCTGTTTCCTTAGCTGATTTTCTTCATAAAGCAGACTCACAAAACATTACCCTTAAACTAACCATTTATTAAAATATGCTGGGAGACCTGCCCAGCTATTTCGTACCCTAAGCCATGGGCAGGCCCCAAGGCAAAGAGCACGCGAGCCTGCAGGGCGTCAGCAAGTAGGCGGGCAGAAAGCCAAGCAGCCTCATGTCCCAGAACATTCTCTCCTTCCGAAAAGACAAAGTGGTGCTGCCAAGGCTTATACCCCTCCTTACCAGAAAAGGTCTAATCGTCTGTTTAAAATTTATATATGACTCTTTTCTCCCACTTTCAACTTATGGTCAGACCTGTTCATGGTTGTATCCTTCCCCAATCTCAAAACTTAAAACCAATCTAACAAGTTCCTAACAGAGTCCCCTTGATAACCGGGGGGGGGGGGGGGGGTTGGTTCTCGGAACATCCTCCCCGCCCACAAATACCAAAATCCACGGATGCTCATGTCCCTCATATAAAATAGGGGGGTGTCTGCATATACCTACATACATCCTCCCTTATACTGTATATTAAGTCAATTCTAGATTACTAATAATATTTAATACTATGTAAATGCTATGCAAATAGTTGTTATATTTTACTGTTTAGGGAGTGGGAGAAAATAAAAGTCTGCACATGTTCAGTACAGACACAACCATCACAGGCCTAACTACATAATACACATCAACACATAACTGCCTCCCCCCAATATTTTCTCTGCATTGGTTGAATCCACAGAT